GTAATCACTTTTTGTGACCTGGACAATTAAACCCCGATAAACACTTCAAAGGCAAAGCAAAGCGCGTTTGTGGTTATTCTCAGTTTATTGACGCGGAACCTGACATAAAGTCAAAGGGGAAGCCAGGATTCACTTAATAACTATGTTACTACCTTAATAACTGCAGTGATTCACTTAATCACTGTGGGATGAAAGGCTGTAAAATGGGGCAAAACTCACTTAACACTTGTCTCATTTAGCAACAGAAATTTTGGGCTTAATTGTGATTATATGTCAAAGACTACTTGTATTTGGCCCTCAAAGGGGCTAAGGAAACAACTTCGCAAGGCAACATTCATTCTCCAAGACTCAGTTCCACCTGTCCAGAAGGACATCACAATCCACTGAAGTAAAAATCATCAAGGGATTCAGAAAGAAAAGCAGGATTTCGTACAAGATCCCAAGGGAGGAGCAAGGGAGACTGATCAAAAAGTCAATAAGAGTTGAAATACGAAAAAGGGCAAGAGATGACTTATTTTTATTTTTATTTATTGGAATTTGTCAAACAAAAATGAGAACAAGAATAAGAGAATAAATATACAATGACAGGGATGATAGGCATGTTAGTGCACATAATTATGCACGCCCCTTCTACTGACCAAGTATGAAGTAAGGTCCTCGGAAGACAATTTGTGACTGAAACTGTGAAAATTTGTAGCTGAGACAACCAAATCAGGTAGGGCATTCCAGACTTTGACCACTCTATTGCAGAAATCATATTGGTAGATAGATATAGAATACATTTTAATATGGGATTTGTTTTAGTAAAGACTAAAAAATAGAGCTAGACATTAAAAATTGGGAAAATGTTATTATGCATACTGTTATATGATAGAAGCTATTATAATTAATATGTATAAGCAAAATCAAGAAGTCAAGATTACTATTATGAAGGCTTAAAAAGTAAAAAATAAGAGGATGAATTGATACATAATACCTCTTAATATGGGAATTGTTGTATTAGAGGCTAGTAATAACACATAAAGTAGAAATTGGAAAAATACTATTTTATATTCTTCCACAAAATAGAATTCATTATAATTACAATGTAAGCTGAAAGAATATTATGTATATTTAATATCATCATTGTTATCAAGATTTTGTATAAAGTAAATTGACCCAGACAATGTACTACGGATTTTGAAAGAAAATAAAATAAAATTAAAAATAATTTTAAAAAAAGGAATGGATCTATTTTTCCATGACACTCTTGAAGGAGATAATCTTTCAAAGTGAGAAAAATCACATTGCATGTCTATTATGTGCCTGATTTCACTGGGTTCAGATTTAATTTTGGAAGGTCTTTTCAACAACCTTGGACGAAAGTAATTAAAAATAAAAGTTCATTACATAGAAGATGCTACATTCTTTCCAACAGTGGTCTTTTCTGGACTGACATGAGATGTTTTTAGGCCCTTCAGAATAAAAAATAATGCAAGATGCCATCTTTAAAAATAAAAAGCAAACAGAGGAAAATGACCCTAAAATTGTTTTTGGCCCAATATCTATCCTGCAGGTGAAACTTTAGAAGGCATCAGCCTTTTTTTCCCCCTTCCTAATTACGGTACTTCATCTTTTAACAGCAAAGCATGATGGCTGAACAAACTTGGAGAATCTGGGTTCATACCTGAAGTGAAATTTGAATTTCAGGTCGTAAAGGAACAGGGATGGAAACTCTGTTTCTTGATGAGAGCTAAAAACTTGAAGCTGAATAGGGGATCTATGTGTGCATTTTCAAGACTGAAGATTGTGCTAATCTACATAAAATTCAGATACCTAAGAAATCTTTTACCTAACAAAAATATACAAGGAAATGCAAAAACTATATTGTTTAAATTGTATATTTTGCACTACACAACTAAACTTTACTTACCAGATTAATTTCTTCTGTTAAATTTGTTGTTGGATGTATGCTAGCAATAACTTTTTTTAAAAAGAATTCCTCATGCATATTTTTCATGGAGTTACATAAAAACATCTAGTTTTTTTTAATCTTTTAAGGCGCAATACAACTGCAATCAAAATCTATTTGGTCAACATCACTATTTACAAGCAGGACCAGATTTTCTAAAAAAGGATACCTCTGAGCAAACACTGTGTTTTATCTGCCACTAACCAATCACACTTTATGTGCTAGAGATAGTGAGAAGATTTACCTGATTGGACAGTAAAAACCTCAGGCTGCCTTCTTGAGGAATTAAATCCTGACTTCTGCTAAGACAGGAAAAGCAGAAAAAAGTTGGAAGGCGAGCTGCATGGCCTAATATAAATTGGGCGTGGCCAAATAGGGGCGGGAGGGGAAGGGGGGGGTACTTCCAGAATTATCCAATAGGATACAAGGAGCGTGATGTCACCGCGCTCAACACAGCATGGTCTCAGCTAACAAAGCGAACAATAGGGCAGATATGTGCCCCATTGACAAGGGGAAAAGACTGATACAGACCCCAAAATTACGAACTTTAAAAATACAAAAATGTTACACAACTTAGGCTGGCTATAAACAAAGAGGTGGAGTAATTCTTATTTAGATACTTGGAGAATGTCTTAAAATGTTCCAGCTTTGGAAAAAAAAGGAAAGGTACATTTTTCTACAATATATTTTGGCATTTATTATGGTAGCTTTCAAATGCAAAACCAGCAAAGGAAGATAGAGGAGCATCAGTTCAAGATTTGGCCCACCATACGCTCATCTTTGCCCATTGAAACTTGCTCATTTTCTTTATACCTTTGCTGCTTAAGGAAAAAATTTATGGGTTTTATAAATCAAAATGTTAAAATGTACGGAAAGAAGGCAAGAATGTGAATAATCGGAATTATGCTGAGTGAGCAATTTGCAAAAGGAACAACATGGGTCCCAAAAGAAGCGGGACCTGAAAAATGGGGCACAGATGACACCAATTCCGCATGGATTCCAGAAGGTGGGTCGAGTTTGCCAACTTCTTATAGCCTCCTCGTCCAGAAAGAACAACAAGCATCCAAACCTCTGCTCAAATGTATCTCCTCAATGTGTGTAGCACCTTGTCTTTTTAAAACAAGGATTACCTACTTTAAATACAATTCGTAAAGATGCTCACTTGGTTCTCTCAAAACAAATGGAAAATAAGTGGAAATGGAATATTGTTATTTCTGGAATAATTTTTCCAACTGTAAATGTCGAAAGTTTTTTAGTTTCCTTCTTTCCTTCCTTCCTTCCTCTCCACATTTCTGTCACACGAAAGAACAAAGAAGCTTTTAAAGTCTCCCCAAAGCCAAATGGAACAGGCCCAGAAATTAGGCGTTCCTTGGTTTTCTAGATTTCAGTGAAGTTTGAATTAAGGAAGAGAAATACAAAGCCAAATATGGCTGGATTTAGCCACACAAAAGCTGGAAAAGTTGGTATTTGGGGCATAGAGAGAAAACTGAAGTCTGTCAGTTTTCACATTTAGAAAGCTACAATCTGGGGGGGTGGGGGGAATGCAGCATTTCTAAATGCTTACATAAAACAACCTTAAAGATTGGGGTGTGCACATACATCAGTTGCCTCAAGCAGGCTCACCTCCCCTTCCAAAGTTTTCCTTAAAAAAAAAAAACAGAAAACAAAATGACCAGCAGTTTGTTTTATTTCCTACAAAGATGGGATGGGTGCTATGGATGTTGCTTTAAAAATAAAATGAAATTTAAAAAAATGAAAGCTCTTTTCATCCCCAAATAAATCCGAGAGAAAGGGACAAACCCACCTAAAACGAAACCCTCCCAAGACTTTTGAAAAACTATGTAGGAGATTGCTGAGTAATTGGGGAGGGGGTGAGAGGAACTAGGGGCAGATGGGGGGAGGCAGAAACTAAGGATGGGGGACCCGCCCTTTCCTACCGATGGGCTTAACTTTATGATGGGCACAACCAACCAACTCTTCTTGCATTCTTGGACGGTTTTTTGTTTTTTACCTTGACGGCCCACGATTTCTGCCACATGTTCCGAGCTGGGCACCGAGACGCATTCCGTCATGTTGACACTCTTCTTGCGGCTGCCGATGATGCCCAGCTGCCCGGCCAGCAGGGGGTGCTGTGGCGGAGGGGGGTGTCCCAGATGGGGCGGGAAGGCCCCCAGGATCTCCACGGGGGAGACGGAGTTGGAGGCTGGGGGGCTGCCCTCGGCCTCCAGCAGGACCAGGCCCCCACCTGCGGGCGGCGCTGCTGCCAGGGGAGGCAGCCCATGGTAGCCGAAGGGATCCAGCCCTCCTGGATCACCTGCCTCCATCAGGTCGTCCTCGGGTCGTGGTCCTCCTCCTCCTCCTCCTCTTCTTCTTCTTCTTCCATCCTCCTTGGCCGCCGCCTCCTCCTCCTCCGCTTCTTCTCTCCCGCCTTCTCCTTCCTCCTCTTCCTCCTCCTCTGCCGCCAGCCCTAAGATGGAAAGCTGCTCCAAGGCCAAGGAAAGCTCCGCCACGGAGTCTCGGAGGGGCGCCTCGGCTTCTTGCAGGAGAGGCGGGGAAGGCGGCTTCAGGCTGGGCTGCTCGGGGCCGGCAGGCAGGGCGAAGCTGCTGCCGGAACAAGCCGGCTGCTGCGCGATCTGGGGGGTCAGCAGCCCGCCCAAGCCAGACGGGGGGCAGCAGCGGGAGGCTTCTCCATCCAGCTGGTAGATGGCGCTGGGCATGGCTGCCTGCAGCTCCCCCTCCTCCGCCTCTTCCTCCTCCTCCTCCTCCTGCTGCTGCCCCCCCAGCCTGGGACGGGCTCCCTGCCTCCGGCTTCGGGGCGCTCTCTCGGGCTGCTGCCGCCGCCGCCGCACCGCCCCCAGATCGGCTCCGCTCGCCTAGGATCCCGCCCCCCTGCCTCCTCCTCCTCCGCCGCCGCCGCCGCCTTTGTTTGCTGGCCCTGCCGCCGCCTTCATCCAGCAGCCCGGCCCGGAGAAGGGGGGGAGGGAAGGAAGAAGGGAGGGAGGGAGGGAGGGAGGTTGGACGGGGCGGGGAGCCCGAGCGGAGGCTGCCGGCAGCGCACCCGCCCCTCCACCCGATGGCGCCTCGCCGCGCCTCTATCCCACCCAGAAAGAGGACGTCATCTCCAGCCCAACAATGAAAGACCGGGAGGGGGCAGAGAAAAAGGGAGAAAGCGCATGCGCGGGGAAAGCCTTTTTCCCACCCTTCAACCCCCCCCCGGGTAGCCCCGCCCCCTCCCACGCGCTGTAAAGGTTCGGGGTTAAAAGCGCGGCCACACCTTCCAACTTCTGGCGGGGGGGGGGGGGG